TGCTGAAATTCCATTAGCATGCTTGCATATCATTTTTGCCATGTTTCATTGCATTTTATCATTGCCTCGGTTTGCGTGCCGGTGTGCACGCATTTCGAGGCATTCCATTTTTATCCGTGGCATCCCATGTGAGTGTGGCTGAGGCTCACTCATGTTGGTATAGCCCATTTGTCATTTCCATGTCCATTCCATTGCATTCCGCCATTGCCTCGTGTTGCGTGCCCGTGTGCACGCATTGAGGCACCTCTTTTTATCCGCGTGGCATCCCATGTGAGTGTGGCTGAGGCTCACTCATGTTGGTAATAAGCCATTTGTCATTTCCATGTCATTCCATTGCATTCCGCCATTGCCTCGGTTTGCGTGCCCGTGTGCACGCATTTCGAGACACCTCTTTTTATCCGCCGGCATCCTGATGAGTGATTGTGGCTGAGGCTCACTCAATGTTGGTATAGTCCATTTGTCATTCCATGTCACTTCATTGCATTCTGCCATCGCCTCGGTTTGCGTGCCGTGTGCACGCATTTCGAGGCATCTTCATTTTTATCCGCCGGCATCCAATGTGAGTATGGCTGAGGCTCACTCATGTTGGTATAAGCCCCATTTGTCATTTTCATGTCATTTCATTCCACACATATCATCGCCTCGGTTTGCGTGCCCGTGTGCACGCATTTCGAGACACAATATCATCGCTCGGTTTCGTGCCGCCGTGCACGCATTTCGAGACACATATCATCGCCTTAGTTTGCGTGCCGCCGTGCATGCATTTTGAGACACATATCATGCGCCTCGGTTTGCGTGCCCGCGTGTATGCATTTTCGAGACACATATCATCGCCTCAGTTTGCTGCCCGCGTGGCACGCATTTCGAGACACATATCATCGCCTCGGTTTGCGTGTCCGTATGTACGCATTTCGAGGCATCTCATTCGCGTTGCTTCTTACATCGCCTCGGTTTGCGTGCCCGCGTGTACGTACTTCGAGGCACCTCATTTTCTTCATTGCATTTTATCATCGCCTCGGTTTGCGTTGCCCGCTGCATGCATTTCGAGACACATGTCATTTTCTCGGTTTGCGTGCCCGTGTGCACGCACTTCGAGCATTCATTTCATAGGCATTTCTGTGTATGTTTAAGGACTTATCTTAGTTGCATTTCAGTGCATTTTTCGATGCATATTGCATCGTGTCCGAATAGCGAGTTAGCCCGGCGACGGGAAACGAGGTACATTTCGTACATCCGAGTGACGGAATGTGTCTCAATTCCCCCAGTCACCAAAACACTCCCGGATTATCCATGATGGAGTTAGGTTTTCAGCTGAGTTTCATGTGCATTCATTTCCTATATCGATTGGCCATTTCGACTCCCTCAGCCATCATGCCTTGGTAATGCGTGATTGGTGGCGAGGATCGAGACTTGCATATATCTGTGCAAATACAGTTGCTATGCCCTTTCCTGCTCTCTGTTTGCAGCAAAATGGGAGAATCAAGCGACTTTTGGACTTGGCACGCATTTCCAAGAACAGGTGTAAACAGAGGCTAATGGGCATTCCGGTGGATTTCCGCGCAAGACAATCCGGTTAACCATCTATTGAATGCTATGGCTTTATTCAATACTTATATTTGGTTTAGTATTTTTCTACTGGGCTGTGGCTCACCCTTTATGGGAACATCATTTTCAGGTTCAGGTGATAAGTTACCTCCAAGGACTTAGCTTGGAAGGATTTGGCTTTTGGATTTCGAAGACTATCTTTAGTTAATTGTTTTATTTGTTAGTACATGTAAACATTCAAGCCAAGGGCTTCACTTGTATTTGGGTTAGAACTCATATTTTTTTTGTGTCCAAGTGTTGACTTGGAAAGATGTTAGCCCGTAGGGCATTTAATTTGATGTTACATGTAATGCTTATATTTTAGTAATACTCTGATGAATGAATTAATAAATTGTTTTCTTTAAATATTTCATGTCAATGATATATGTATATAATGGGTTTTTTTTTGAGGGCGTGACATCTTAGATGCTTTTAGTTTTAAGGAAGTAGATTTACATAGTTGGTTTAATACCACACTATTGTTTGAATGACAACTTGGGTTCATGTTACTAATTTTTTTGTTGGGTGATGAAGTCGTTTATATTTTGGCAATGCACATCTCCATCATCTCTTATTATCCCTATACATAGATACCATACCATTCCAATATCAGCACAGTTATGTGTCACCTAACAGCAATGTCCACCATTTCTTTACACAGACAATTAAAAAAATCTACAAAAGAAAAAGAGAGAGACAGTTCGGTATTATTAACAGTGATTGTTTGTAAAGTAATGGCATGAGCAAGTCCCTATTTTATCAGCAATCAAACAAATTTGAAATTCATTCACCTTTATTTTTCAAATTAATCTCCAAACTACGAAATTTATTAAGAATGCCTAAGATTAAAACAACTAAGACATTAACAAAACGTAACTAATAGGCACTAATGTCTCCTTGTAAAAACAATGTTTCGATCACTATAAGCCTCATCATGAAAGTCAACTACACTGGATCATTTGGATAATTTGGCAATTCATCGATATCATCCGTGTAGGGGTCCAACTCTGTGTTCATGAATGGTTTACTGTCTGAGTTGCTACCCTCTCTCTGGCTACTTGAAGCCAATTTTTTACCCGTCCGCTTTGTGTGTCCGATGCTCCTACGGTAGCAAATAATGCATAAACGATTTTAATAATCATGTGCATGTAACAGGATATGAAAAGGACATACAATGAAAGTACCATACCTACAATACCCATACCGTCTTGGTTTTGGAGGTTTACCCATAGAAGATGTCCCTCCGGGGTTCCCTTTGGTCTTCACTACATTAGGATCAACAACGTCATATAGTTTGGGTGCAATATTTCTGTCCCCAGCCTCGGCATTACCTTTTTTTCTCATTGCCCAACGTCTTTTCATCTGCGATGTCAGCTGGAAAGCTATTTCCCTTGCCTCTTCAAAATCTTTGTCCGCGTGTGAGGCATGTGACATTTCACTAAAACAGGAGCTGAGTATACCAAACCGAGCTGTCTGTGTTAGGGTGCTACAAATTAGGTAAGACTTGGTTGTTGACACTTTGACCTACCACGTCTTGTCCATCTCCGCAAGACACAACTCGGTGGAATACACATTAATTGTTCAGATTTCATAACAGCAATCATGTGGCAGCAAGGGATGCCAAACGACTCAAACTTCAAGCAACAACATTTCATTGTGATATCAGTTGGAAAATACTCGACTGTCCACGTACATGTTGGTGCCTTGTACTCACCAAAACGATAGGTGCGATGATCCTCCAACTGAACTCTTTCCATCCCAAACAATTTACCCTCTTTCCTGATTTCATGTCGAAACAATGAGAAAATCTTCGGAGTAAAGAGTTCAGCTGCATGTTTCTCCAAACTTCTCAATGGCGTAGTCAAAACTCTGTTTTAGATTCTGTTTCTGCCTCATTAACATGCATTCTAGCAAGAGCCCTATCATATTGCACTACAAATTCATACAGCCTAACCTTTTGGTCTAGGAATATATTGAAATATGCATTCATACCCTCGACACGTTGAGTGCTCCTCATTCCAGCAAACATGTGACCACAGAGATATGCCTCAGCCCAATTATCACGCTTCAAATGAATATCGAACACCCAGTTATTGTTCTCCAACTTGTACTGTTTCACCATAGCAGCCTAGGCATTGTCAAACTCATCAATTTTACATTTCTTTAACATCAACTGTGCAAAATCAGTTGTAAATTTTGGTATGTGGACATTTGTTGAGGCATTTTTCTCTAGATGCCAAGAACATAAACGATGTCTGCAGTTTGCAATAACTCTTTTGATTGCCTGACGCATTGCCCTCTCACCATATGTTACAATGGAGATGGGTCTTTTACCATCCATGGCCTCCATTAACATTTCCAACACCCACGTGTATGTCTCCATTGTCTCATCAGGCAACAAAGCACATCCGAATATAGTTGTCATAAAATGGTTACTTACGCCAGCTAGAATTACAAATGGCTTCTTATATGCATTTGCACGATAAGTTGTATCAAATACCAATACATCACCAAATGTAGCATAATCCATTCGAGACCTACAATCTGCCCAGAAAATCTTGTCCAACCGGTTGTCCTTATCGACGTTGTATTAGAAAAAAAATAATGGATCTGCATCTAATTTAGCTGATAAGTATCCTAACGCACCCTCTGCATCCCCGTCTGCGAGTTGTACTTTGCGCTCAGCTTGGAATTGTTTGTGCAAATCTCTGTGAATGAAGCCCACCTTCTCATAACCCCCTGACTGGTGGACCATAAAATCCATGATCTAGCTCGTTTTCATACCCACATTGCGCATGGCCTTTGCTTGAGCTTACAAACCTATGCGACCAAAGAAAAGGGACGCAATGTGGTGCTGCCAAGGGATGGTTGTGTTCCCCTACAAAGTGGGTCACAACATATTTCCTGACTGTCTTGTCATCACGCACGCGAAATGTGGCACTACAAAAAAGTCTAGTTTCGACCCTAGGAGTTCTTACCCGTTCCACACGTTGCAAGTATTTCTTTTCGCTTACACCTTCCCTTGGACAAACCCATTTCCTACTCTCTACAAATTTGTTGTCTCCACTAATTCTTTTTCTACTTCTTCGTACGCTAAAATCGCTGACCTTAGCGTATGCATCGTAGAAAGTATAAGCATCATCCTCTGAATTGAATTTCTTTTGCAACACATCTTCCTTAGTAAGCATTCATAAACTATCATAGGTTTGGGAAGCTAACCCTTCTTTCACATCAACAACATCATCCTTGTCATCCGGAGCAAATTGATCATCAATTTCAGTATTGACCTCTTTATGCCTACTACTTTCAGGTTCATCCATCGTATATCCACTCGTAAGTACCCTATTAGCAATTAAAACGAAACAAATCAACTAAAAAACACACATGCCATTGTGCTGCTATAAATTAAATCTTCGGAACAAATAAATTAGCACACCTGCTAGTGCCTTGCAATCAATTAAAAAATAAATAAATTCGAACATGTCTGCGAGTGCCCTACTATCAACTAAAACCAAACAAAAAATAAAAAAAGCACACCCCGTCAATACTGTGCTATCAATTACTAATTCTTTAAAGAAAATGAACAAATAAGCACACCAGGCAGTACTCTGCTATCAATTATACACCAATAATAAAAAAGCACACCTGTAAATATCCTACTATCAATTAAAATAAATAAAATTAATTAAAAAGCACACCTGTCAGTGCCCTTTTATAAATTAAAATCAAACAAATAAATAAAATAGCACATCCGCCAGTGCCTTGCTATTCATTAAAATCAAATAAATAAATAAGCACACCAGCCAGTGCCCTGTTATCAATTCGAAGCAAATAAATTAAAACGCACAAAAGCAATTACCCTACTATGAATTAAAATGAAACAAATAAATAAAATAGCACACCTGCCAGTGCCCTGCTATTCATTAAAATCAAACAAGTAAATAAGCACACCCGCCAATGCCCTGCCATAAATTCAAAAACATAGAAGCAAGTACCCTACTATCAATTACAATGAAACAAATAAATAAAGTAGCACAACCACCAGTGACCTGCTATTCATTAAAATCAAAAAAATAAATAAGCACACCAGCCAATGCCCTGCTACCAATTCAAAGCAAAAAAATTCAAAAACACAGAAGCAAGTACCCTAATATCAATTAAAATGAAACAAATAAATAAAATAGCACACCGCCAGTGCCCTGCTATTCATTAAAAGCAAATAAATAAATAAGCACACCCGCTAGTGCTCTGCTATCAATTTAAAGCAAATAAATTAAAAAACACAGAACCAAGTACCCTAATATCAATTAAAATGAAACCAATAAATAAAATAGCACACCCGCCAATGCCCTGCTATTAATTAAAAGCAAATAAATTAAAAAGCAGACCTGCTAATGCAACCGCTACGGAGGAAGGGATGGAGGAGGTATAGGTTTACTTCTACGTTAAGATGGGGAAATTGAGGACCTATGACAAACAAAAATAGAACATCGAAATAGAGTTAGTAAAGAAGACAATACTTAAGGAAAGTAAAGATTATGGCGAGAAAAGAAAGAATCTATGTACGAAAAATATTATTTTGCACATCTTTTCACATTAACAAACTGCATAAGCAATAACAGAGATGAAAGTCTACTACCTTTGTTCAAAGCATGAATAACCATTACATAAATAAACACTTACACAAATGTACCACAACCAACCGTTTGACCACTTCAAACAAAAATTAAATAAAAATATCTACAAAAAAGGATTATTTGATTGGATGAACTATTGGATTATTTGGTAGATCATTTTTTGGTTAATTTTCTAGTATTTCCTATGTCACAGGTGAAGCTGAGTAGCTTCTAAATCGATGGACTATTGGATTGTTTTTCTTAAAACTTCGTATCCGACCTATTGAACTATTGGACTACTGGATTTGGATTATTGTTATTGGATTTTCTAATCTTGATAGAACCTTAATGTTGTGCTTGCATTATGTATATGCATAGAGATTTGAAAAGGAAGTGGGAAAATGTAGGTGAAATGTCAATGAATTATAATTACATTCGACACACATTTTCCATTTCCTTTTTCAAATCCATAGCTAAATCCATGATCGAAACATAACATTAAGGACATATGATGGTTTCAGTGTCATAGAAAGCAAAGCACATTCACATAATTTTCTTCTCTTTGTGTGCTAGTTTATTATTTTCCAAAACAATTTAAAATAAAATAAAATAAATGTGGGAGTGTATTTTCCAAATGTTTTGAGCAAGCTTCAGTCCATATGTCATAGTTACATGAAGTTATATATCATAAAGTGAGTAATTACAAATGATAGCAACTATGGATTTGGTTATAATTCTTGATTAATTATAAACAACAGCAACTAGGACTCACTTTGCTAATTTAATATAAGGATTCTTTTGGTTAAGTGGGGAAAGAAATAATTTTTCAAAAACACACTCGTTCGTGTGGTTGGTAGACAGCATTAAGATGTGAACAAGAAACTCACGTGTGTTTTGGTCTTTATGGTCTTCAAGTTCATATTGACTGTTTAGGGTGAATATTTATTTTCATGACTTTCACAATCTAATGTTGACAAACAAGAAAGGATAAGCTTTGTACATCTTGGAGATTTTGCATGATAGAAGATAAGTTGGAAGTCTGTCAAAGAACAAGGTAAACATATATAACAAAAATTGAATTAGAATTTGAATTTGAATTTTAATATACAATCTTCACCACCGTAGCAATTACAAGCACGCTTTTCTACCCAAGATGAACTATAAAAGCCGAGACCAGTAGTTTAGCAGTATAGGGTTAGACCCTGAGATGAACTGTAAACCTAGACATCTTAGTTTGACTCTTATTAGTGTCTCTTGGGCTTAACCCATACCTGTGGTTTACCAATGATTGCAGGTATCAAAAATTCACTCCATAAGGGTGGGTCAAATGTGGCCCTGCCTTTTAATTGCGTTGTCTAAATCTTAGTGCTGAAAAAATGGACCATCATATCAGAAACCACCCTATGAATAAATGGAATTTAACTCAAAATGCACTTCAAATACCTTAAAAATGGTTAAACAAGCTGCATGGGATATAAAACGGAGTTAGATTTTTTTAATTTTCTCACCTGTTATACAGATTTAAACTTTATATAATTTGAATCATACTCAATAAATTTAATCCGTATATTTTAAATTTTAATTTTTTTTCCCTTTCTGAATATAACATTGATGGGATCCAATGTGGTTGATGAGGGAGGATATTTCTTGAACAAGAAATGATTTTGGGATGCATATAGGATCCACGTATGGTTTCACCAAAAAGAGCTACCAGGTGCACAAACCCTTTGGTGGTTTTGCATTCAATACCACCAAAGATATTGGCATAGCTGGAGAGCCATATGAAAAAGCAATATTTATCACAGCTAAGAGTGAAACCCACATACATTTGAGCTTATTTGGGTAATAAAAACACTAAAACGGTGTTGTGATTCTCTATAATCTTTACACTTGGTCGGTCTCTGCTAATAGTTTAGTACACATGCCAATGTCATGCCACTCAATTAAAGAATAAATATCGTTAGGCAGTATTTGAATTTTGAATTTTAATAAAAATTTGTAGAAGATATTAAAAAGAAAATAAAAAGTATTAAAAATTTAGTAATTTAGTATCTCATGTCACGTGAGTCAAGTAAACCAAAAATAACAATGCTATGATTCCAAGAAAAAAAATAATAAAAAAACTCTCCTAAATTTCACATCAATAGTCAAGATTCATTTAGAATGTGGCCCCACAACATCAACTTTCAATATACACTATTGATTTGAAATTCATGACAATTTTCTGGTGCTGTAGACTTTTTGAACCAAAAATACCCTATTTGCATTTTCGATTTGAAAAAAAAAATGGAGATAGAAAGGAAAAAACAACGGAAAATTAAAAAATATTTAACAGATTTTGGTAGCCCATGCCATGTGAGTCAATTAAACAAAAATACCTTTAGATTGTATTTGAATCTTGAATTTGTGGACGAAAAGGAAAAACAAGGGAAAAATGACAAAAATTTAGTAGTTTAGTACACCATGTTATGCGAGTCAATTAAACATCACCACCTCTGAAGCTCTACATGCAACTGCAAATGGATTTCAAAACCCTACGCTCAAAAGCAATGGCATGGTTCTCTCTTTTGGCCTAGAAGCACCACTTTGTGAATCCATGGCATCTGTCTTAAATCTTGCTGAGAAACAAAAGGCTCCTAATGGAATCCCTAATGGGTTTTATAAAGTTGAACAAAATGGCGATGATTGTTCTAGCGGATCAACTGTCACAACTTTAAATTCGACAGAGGAAGGAGTGAGAAACGGGATTCAAGAGCCAATGATGGGGAATTTAAATGGCTTCACTCCCTAAATCCCTTGCCTACTTGGCATTCCATGGCCTTATTGGAATTCAGTTGCTCCTATACCGGCTGTTTGCTTGTCTGGATTTCCAATGCCATTCTATGCCACCCCCTATTGGACAGTTCCATGGTTGCCTTCACCATCTCCTACAACAAACCAAAACGTGCCAAGCTCTGCTCCAAACCAAAATACACCGACTCTAGGGAAACATTTGAGAGATGGGGACTTGATTAAGAAAAATTCAGAGACATCCATTTTGATTCCAAAAACTATAAGGATTGATGACCTTGATGAAGCTGCAAGAAGTTCTATATGGGCAACACTTGGGATTAAGAGTGATTCTTCAATGATGAGCAGAGGAGGCCTTTTCAAGGCCTTCCAACCAAAGGGTGGTGAAAAGAATCACACACCAGAAACCAATTTTGCGTTGTGGGCTAACCCTGCAGCCTTGTCTAGGTCGCTCAGCTTCCAAGAACGGTCCTAAAGTAGATGGTGTTACCATTACATCTAATATTTGTTCTCCAAGGTGGCATTTGGGAAAGAAATATTGGGTGTTTGAGATCATATTGATTCACAGACTTGTTAAAGCATATGCAACACTTTGAACTGATCAGAGTGGAAAAATGAAGAAAAGGTTCCTCAATGATGGTTTTTTACTTGTAAAATTTAGAACAGGTGCCTTCGTTTTTAGGGGCAATTGCAAAAAAATGGAAACTAACTCAAAATCATGTTACTTTTAAAGAGGTATAAGTGAGAGTTGTTTCTCATGTCACAACTTTCACTTGCAGCGGACACAGACCCTGCACCTCCATGAAAGTTACAGTTATTTTGAATTGTTTTCACTGATTTGTAATTCCGCTTGTTTTTATTTTGTATTTTTATTTCGTGAGTGTGAGCAGATGTACATATCTATATATGTAAATACTGACATTAGGAGAGAGAGTGGAAGTAGTTTAGATGCACGAAAATCCTAGAAATCAAATGTTGTAACTGTTAAACTCAACCCAGAAAGTGGCTTGAATAATGGCAATGCAATTCTTTTATCTTCAGAGATTTTCATTACATTTCTTGGTTTATTAGAAACTAGTATTTCTTAAGATTTTCTACATAGACTTCATCAAGAATCCAAGATTTGAGCAAGTGCGAAAGCTAAGGCACAAATGGTGATTCTATCTTTCAAAATGACACAATAAATTATGTAACAAAGGGGATCAAAATGTATGGGTAAAAGTACACCTTTAAGAATTTTAAGTGCCAAAATTATGACGCAAATGGTGATAATAAATATTAACAAAAGAAGAGAAGGGTTTGAAGATTTTATTTATTTATTTTTAATTATATATTTTGTGATAGAGATAATAAATATCAACAAATGAAGAGAAGGGCTTGAAGATTTTATTTATTTATTTTTAATATATATTTTGGGATGGTGCCAAGGCAATATGCAACAGTTTTCAAACAGACCTGAAATAAAACAAGAAAAGGGTAGGGTCTAGTTTGGACATGTGAAGATATAGTGGCAAATCCAACAGGGTTGAATTTCTTTGTGGGACCCTTTACAGATAAGAAAGTCACAACAGGCCATACAACTTTCCCTTTCATACTAAAAAACTTTAACTACAAAGTGAAAAGTTGACACAAATTTCCTCCCATCTTTTTTCTCTCTCAACAATGCATAAAAATAAAAACATATGATGGAGAAATAATAAAATGGCATGTCTTAATTTTGAGTTTTGTAGGCATACTGTTTTTTAAAAATTTATCTACATAATATTTTTACAAATTTCCTCCCAAAACCATTCTACAAACATAAACAGATTTCAATAAACAAATAAAAAATTACAGTCTCATATCAGTTACATGAGTAAAAAATTCAATTACCCACACATCAAATTTCACACACTCAAGCCAAATTTCAAGTATATATATATATATATATGAAATCAAAACAACTACCAAAGCAAACAAACATAAAAAACCTAAACCAATTCAAATCATATTTTCCTAATTTTATAAACCAAGCTAGTGAGTTCACAATGGTGAAAGGGGCAGTTTCGAAGAAGGGGATTTCAGTCTAGGGTTTCATAGAATGGAGATGGAGAAAGGGAGAGAAACAAGTTGCAGCGAGAGAGAGAGAGAGAGAGAGGCATACCTTGAGGCGAAGTCGGGGGCACATTATGCTCACAGGATAGTCTTCGAGGGCGAAGAAGAGCTTCGAAGTCGTGTCTGAAAAAAAGTTTCGAAGTCGTGTCTGAAGAAGGCGAAGAGGAGCTTCAGAGTCGTCTCTGAAGAGAGCTCCGGAGTCGTGTCTGAAGAGGGCGAATAGGAGCTTCGGATTGGTCTGAAAAATGGTTTTGGGAAAACAAAGTGAAGAGGGTTTATGGAACATACAACAATCGGTGAACAAAATTGTAACCGGTTGAGAGGGTATTCAATATTTTCAATCAAATTATTTGATGGTTGAGATTAATTTATAAATATCTAATAGTTTAAAATAAATGTGTACATGATGTGCACTATTTAATAAGGTGCACATCTTAATAGCTCCAAATTTCTAGAGGTGGTGACGCAATTGATGAGATATCTAGTCATTTCTCTTGTTTATTACGTGCTGAAACTCCTAACCCTAATTTACCCCACAAGTTGGAATTAAAGAAGGGCTCTACTTTGCTGACCATTAAAACCCGTTTTGATTCTCACCAAAGTCATCACTGATCTCATCGCTCAATCGCAGACGAGCATATATATATATACACATACATAAAGCACACAACCCACACACTCGTATTTCATTGTCTTTGCTGTTTATTTGTGATCTTTCAACCATATATCTTTCAAAAAAGCTAGGGTTTTTCGGGAGCTGATTGTACTAGTTTCATGCTTGAGCTCATCATCTACCGAAAGGTAACAAAATTTTATAATAATTTAAATTATGATGAATTGAATCTATATGATGAGTTGATCGATTTGTATAAGCAATTTTAGTAGCAGGTGATTAAATTGGTTATTATTATGATGTCCAAGTTCTGAACTTTAGAAAAAAGATTGTGACCTACAATTTAGAATCTGACAATTTACCACAATGACATGTGTCAATTTTTTATTTGTCACCAACTCAACTATTTGAAGCCCAATCTCCTTGTAAACTATTCATCTTAACTTTAAGACCTCTTAAACCGTCCTGTGTTTTGTGTGTTTTATGGATTTTGTTTTGTTTTGTTTTGTTTTGTTTTTTTAAAGTTAATATTATTTATTTTTGGTTTGTGTAGATGATAGTTAGTTTTATATAACCCAATAAAACTTATGATTAATTTAAGAACATTAGTAGGTAATTTTATAAGCTAAATTCCAAGGAAAAGGGGAAAAAGTTCTCTTGGTCATGTTTTATGTTATTCCAGTTTCATTGATTGTTATGATTTTATTTATGATATGAATATATGATTATGACATCCGGGTTTGATTGTGGTTGATCGGGCAGTTGACCGTTAACCCTTCTTCTCCGCAGTTTATTCAAATGACCATATTTTAGAACATCACTTGAAATCATTATCTTGATATACTAACAATAAATTGTTTATAAGCAGTATTCCGTGAAATTGTTTTAATTGAAATAAAAAATAGACAATGCTGGACTATTTTACAAGACTTTAAATGACATGAGATGGAATTGAATTGTAGCCTTCACAATAATCCAGCACCATAATTGATTAGAACTGTTATAAGGAGTATGCTATATTCATTTTTACAAACCTTTTGGAGCTATGGAGGATAATATTCAGCTTGTTTGGTTCCAGTTTTCAAAAAATTCTACTTTTTTATTTTTCATATTTTAATATTTTCAATGAATTTTTTTAATATTTTAATCAATTTTTTTTTTTAATTTTTAGACACACCTAACATAAACACACTTAAAAAGTATAATATTTGTGAAAAAAATCATTAAAAAATACACTAAATACAAAAATAATACAAAAATTTAGTACATTTTCGTATTTTTGTGTATTTATTAATTTTTTAAAATATTTTTTCACAAATATTTTACTATTTAGATACATCTAAATAAAGTGCATCTAAAAAAGTAAAAAAATTACTTAAAATTTAAAAAATATTCAATAAAAACAAAAAAAATAAGAAAAATAAAAAACTCAGTTTTCAAAAAACTGAATTCAAAAAATTGAAACTAAACACACTAATTATTATTGTGAAGTTTAGTAAGGATTATACCTATAAGTAACATTTTACAGTTGTATGGTTATGGATATAGATATAGATAAATAATTATTCTTTCTTCCCTTCTCTCTCAACCTAGTGCTGTCTATCAAAACTCTTAGCCAAGGTTCTGAAAAGCGGTTGCGGTCGTCGTAACGGTGGCGGTGATGCGGTTGCGGTTGCGGGGTGTAAAGGCCGTAGTGTAACGGTTGTGGTAACCGGAACCGTGAGTTTTTTTATTTTTTGCACAATTTGAAAAAAACTTACCGATACACATATTTTTTTCCATGATCATATTTATTGGGTTAAAAATAAATATTGATCAATTTTTGTAAATTTTTAAGTATGATTCAATATATTTCATATTTTTAAATCACTATAAACTGAGTTTTTTACATTTTATTTTAATAATTAATGACTTTATATTATACAAAAAATCAATCACTAACTATTATATATAAGATAAACAATAACAAAAGTAAGAGAATAAATAAGAATCTAATATATATATATATACATATTTTTACCAAGCCAAATAGATAATGACCACACTTATTATTATTATTATTATTATTTTCAAACAATACATAGATAGACACACACAAACAAAATGGTTTAGTGATTGCAGCTGAATTGAATAGCATAGGTCTTACAGTTTCAACAAATCAATAACATGTTCTTCATCTTCCCTTTTCTCTCTCTCTATCTCTTGCTCCTTCATTTTCTCTTTGTATCTTCCCTCTTGTCTCCATCCCTCTTCCCCAATTTTCAGCTTTTTTTTGTGTGTTTTTTTGAAAGAAACAGTTTGGAACCGTTACGTAACGGTGCGTAACAGGCCGTTACGGCTGTTACGTCACCGTTACGACTGCTACGGTAGCCGCTACGACCGACACACTTGTGAATCTCATTCACACTGCAAAAGCGGCCGTAACGGGTGACGGTAACCGCCAGAACGGCCGCTTTTTAAAACCTTGCTCTTAGCTTACTTCGCCCTTATCAAATCTCTTGGCATTCCTCCAAATTATAATCCTGAATTTTAAAATTTGTGGACCATGTGGTTGAGAACATCAGTAAGTATATTATGGTGTAGAAAGTATGATTTGTTTATTTAAATTATGCACTTTAGATGAATTACTTTAATATCTATTTTCTGTTCTTGCCTTTTTGAGATGTTGATTAATGATTTAACTTTTAAATTAGATTCAAAGTTTTATTTGCTATGGCTTGGCTGGAGAAGAAAAGATGGTTTTGTAGAGTTTTGTGCTATATTGCATCCAACTTTATGAGGGATGAGGGCTTCTTGTCAAGTGTGGTTGCACAAATTGCTAGTAATAAAGGAAAATTATGCTTCTCTTTGTCTTGTCTTGCCTTAGTCTAGTGATTATTTGCGTGATTGTGATTTGGTCAGTAGGAGTTGATTAACCGAAGGATTGAATTGTTTCTTCTTTTTTGAGATGTGATGTGTGCTCCAAATTAGTAACACTATTTCTGAATGTATTTAGTTAGGTGGGGTCCTTTTAGAAGTCTTTTGTTGTTGTTTTGTCGTCTTCCTAGATTTTGGTGTACTTTTACAGTTAATTTCTTTGGCAATTCTTTGTCATATGTTGTGAGCAATACACTTAGTTTCGTATCATGATGTTTTGTAATTGGTGAAATTCATGGTCTCCCTTTGAGTTCTTTTGAGGCTTTTTCGGATGCTTTCATTTGGTTTCTTTAGGCAAGCATTGCATGCTTGGTTAGGTCATCAATTTGTTATCTATTCCTTTTGAGGATAGGTAACTTCTGGAATTTGATTCCTACTTTTAACAATATTGTTAACTTAGACCATCTCTAATGGTTCACCAAACTTAACATCAAATTTGAATTTTGGTAAAAAAAGTCACTGTTTGGTGCTCCAACGGTTGCACCAAATCGGTATCAAATTGAGAATTCACCAAAAAATGCATCAAAGTGAGAACAGGTAGCAGCTTTCACCATTTCACTGTGCGTGACCGTTGGGGAGACCAACTGTAACGCCCTCAAAATTTTCTAAACTCAACCAACCTGTAACAAACCCGCTCAACACATCCTATAACTCAAATACAACGTAAGAAAGGATGTAAACAAGATAATAAACAACTACCAACATCCACGGACACATGTCCGGATCACTATACAACAAGGGTAAACCTGGGATCGCTATACCAACTGGTCGACCAGCCGGTTGACCGGCCCGCTGACCAACCAGTCCATCGGTTCCCTTACAAAAATTTTGGTTCAAACAGGTCAAAAGGTTCAAAAAGGTAAAAAAAAAATATATATATCTGCCTTACCGGTCGACCCTGTTTTGATGCCCACCATTGGAGCAGTCTGTATCAAAATGAGAAAATGGGTCTTTTTTAACTCAAATTTGGTGAAAAATTTGGTAAACGATTGGAGATGCTCTTACATGCTTGGTTTTGTCATCAAATTTTACTTCTTTGGGGGCTTCTCTTTTCTAAGTTTTGTGTAATGGGGTAAAATGAAATTTTGAGGGTTCGATCCTAGTTTGTTTCTTGCTTGAAGTGAGTAAGAAGGAAAGTATGAGTTCGTTGGCATGATCGAATTTATCATAGAAATTAGGGTAAACTACATCAGGTCCTAATAGTTGGATTTAATTCCCATCAAGTCCTATTAAAAATAATTCTTAGTAAAATCGTTGCTAAAAATAATTTTTTGTGACGATTTTTTGCATATGTTGCTAAAAATTGACAATTAGTGACTTTTTTTGTGACGAATTTTTCAAACTGTCGCTGAAAGTTGAAAATTAGTGACTTCTTTTGTGACGATTTTTTTAAACTGTCATTAAAATTTATAATTTAGTGACATTTTTTGTGATAAAATTTTTACACTGTCGCTAAAAATTAACAATTAGTAATTTTTTTAACAGTATTTGATGTAAAATGCCATTAATTATCATAGTACTTACTAGACAATGAGTCCACTTATTAGGACTTACAAGTAAATCCCCCTAGAAATTATGTTCCCAAGTGTTTCTATTTTGGCATCCCTTTGTGGATGAAGGATGGTGAGGTGGTTGGTGATGGACCCTCTAGGAAGATGGTAGGTGCCAAGATGGTTGAAGATCACCAAAGGTGGAGGAGTGGGGAAAACAACCTTCAATAGAGAGAGGGTGGCAGTGGAGAACTCTCAAGCTTGCTAGAGGAGAGATGGGCTTGCTTGTGTCTTGCATACATGGTACAGTACCCCCTTTCATAGGAGGATTGAACCATGGAGGACAGCTCACCATGGATAAGTGGGTCATCTTCCTTGGTTTGATAGTCTGGAGGTTTCAACTGTCCATTATTATAGTTAGGTCTTGGAAGATATATTATGGAGATGATGGTGGGTACGTGTGAATGTGATAAGCATGGGAGATTGTATCATAATATCTGTTGAGGTAGGTATGATACATTGTTGGAGATATTAAACCCCTTGGTCAAGGCCCTGCTCTCTAAGACTGGTTAAGGTGCGGCCACCGCTTGGGGTGAGCCAAGCAACATTATGATCCTTTGACTTTAGCCAACTTGTCACAATTCTCTAGTGATTCCCAATGAAAGTGCTAGCCCATGCACCATTAAAATGCCTAATAAAAAATTTAAAATTTTTTACCTTTATTAGGGTAACATTATATGTAGATTCACCAGTTATAGGGGTTGAACTTTGATTTTCAGCAGTGTAAAATGCGAGGGCACTTTCTCCTGGTTTAACCCTTACCTATAGATACAATCCCATAACATAACAGTTCAAACACCAGAAAGGATATAAGTCCCCTGATACACATATATACACGCATACAAAATAAATATGTTATGTTTATATATAGGCTAAATTACAATGATCTTCCAGAGGTTTAGAGAAAATAAAGCAAGCCTCCCAGTTTTGGTATAATTACATTGGGCTCCCTTAATATTTTAATTTGCATAACACTTAAACCCCTTTTCCTCAATAATTTGTTGGTGCGATTGATGAAAAAATGATATTATCATCCATTTTACACTAAAATATATATTTTTCCTTATTTATTCTTGTGTTTCACACTATTTGTATTTGTTTCGATTAAGAGTAGCTATTTGGCTCAATGGCCTATCCAACCCACCGAACCCAACTCGATAATTTTAGGATTAGGGAAAAAATATTTAGCTCATAGGGGTACAGCGGGCTGAGATTTTGGTCCATTTAATTTTCGGGCTGGACTGGAGATGAGGAGTTTTAGCCCAATCTGCCTAGTCCAACTCTACCCGGCCCACTCCACCCACTTATAAAATTTTAATTTTAATTTTATATTACTTAGTTACAAAATAAATTAGAAAAATAATAAAAATAAGAAATATATATACTTTTTTCTAAGGCTTAAATTAAAATATTTGTTAAATGACCGTATTTATTTTGCAATTGAATTTTGTTGATGTTTCAAATTTAAATAATTATTAAAAGAGTCTAAATAATTTAATAACTTTCAAGAAAACATAAAAATAAAAAAATTAGTAGCCCAAGTCTAATGGTTTGTTAAGTGTACGGGCCTAGGATTTAGAAGTTCTTGTAGGACCGAACTTTGGATGGCTAGATTAAGCCCGATGTCGAGTCGGATTGGGCTTGGGATGATACATATGCTCTTATTATATAGTGCAAGCCTGGCTCGGTATTTGTCAACCCCTAGTTTCAGTACCTTTAATCTTACTAAAAAGGAGGTTAACGTAATTATGCCAAAACTATCGAGCTACTTGTATTTTTTCCAAACCTCAGGTGAGGTTAGTGTAATTAACTCATATATATAATATGTTATGCGTATATATGACACATGATAAACTAGATAACCTCGCGTTGAGTAGGAACAAACTGCCATTGCATTCCATCAGCCACATCAGCATTGAACTGCACCACAATCTCCCTGAAACAAGAGATTGTGAACTTGTAACAAAGCATGCAAATGGGACAAATTCATCTTAATTGAAATTTTAGATCAAGATATTCTCAGAAAATGTACCGGATGGTCACATAGGGCCTTCAATTAACAATTAAGAAGTACAATAAATATGCATAGTCCTAAAATTAGTTGCTTCACTCTAATTTCTTGATTTAAATGAAGTGTCAGGAAGAATGAAACTATGCTATGTTACAAATGGAAGCAAATATGGGGGTTCATCTAATCAATGTATCGGTTCTTTTGTACTATAGAACTTGATTAGTGTTGTTGTAAAACTTCATTGATACCGTTTAACAACAAAAGAAAAATTGCAGCTTTTTTCTCCCGCTCTAGTCTCTGTCAAACTTATCCTCTCTTGCAACTTTTAATTAACGGCATAAATACATACATACATATATATATATATAAACAAATCAATCTCTACAAAAAAAATTGCAAAAATGCAAAACATATAATTCCACCTTATAAGCTTTACTTCTTATCACAAATGGAAAAAGGTTTTAACCATTGTACTAATTGATAATATAGACAACAAAGAGTTGCTACCTGGTGGTACGTGTTCTGTCTTGAGCATGGCGAGCAATCTTTTCTTCAACACTCTAAAACATACTAAGGACTTTAAATACCATCTATGAGGGTTGAAAAAAAAAAAAAAAAAGTTCTGAATAGAAAATCATGAGATTGAGTCTCACCTCACGACGCTAAACAGTACCCCCATATCCAGTAGCTTGGCAAAATCTCCTATACAGAGGAATCGCAGTGTAAGTTCACCCCACCATTGCAAAAACCAATCCTGTCAGATATAAAAGCATCTTTTTTGATTTATGTTCTCAGGTAGCATGAGTTGCATATTGGCGCCGCACATCCAAACATGGAGTTAACTGACCACATTTACCAAACGACCCCACACTTGATTCGCATCTTGTCATTACACCCTGAAATTCATAACTGAAATCCCACCCATTTCTAGTACTATTAGGTCCCACAAAATTACGTGTCAACCATGAAGAATCGAGTGAGCACCTGAAAATCAAATTTATCATTTAGACCAAATCTAAATAAATAAGGGCATCTCCAATCCTTGACTCAAAACCCTATCAAATTTAAATTTGGGTATAAATCACTCAAAACACCATCCACTCCTGAGAACCCAAACTTATACCAATTGAGATTTACTCAAATTTTTACACAAATCAAGGGAGATTCAAATGTTTATTGAACATTTTCAAAGCTAGTTGTGGCTCTCAAATTTACTGCTCTACTAAGGATTGTTTTGGAAACTAGGTATTTTAATTGATTTTTTTGATCTTTTACGAAAAGACTTGCAAAAAAGTAGATAGAAGAGTTGACTTTTTTGGTAGTAGTTTTTTTTAACTTTTTGGCTAAAATAACCTGTTTATCAAATAAAGTTTTTACTTAGATTTTTACGTAAATTGATTAAAATGTTAAGGGCTGGAGATGACCTAAGCTAATTAAATTAGAGTAATGTGTGTAAGCCCAGATTTGTTTGTGTGTGATAAATATGAATTAGATATATTAATACGTTTTAATGAACGAAGTTACCTGTATCGAGAAGAGGAGTGATGTACATCCTTGTAAATCTGAGGCAATCTGAAAACCCTAGACCATGACATGTTTGGAGATATAAAGGCACTCTTAGTAGCATCTGAAACAACAACAAAATTCAACTAAGACTCAATTCATTTCACAGTCATTCTCTGTTTGGTAGTTGAGAATCCTGAAAAAACGAAAACTTGTTTTTGGTTAGTGAGGGTGTATTTTGAAACAAAATAAACAAATAAATAAAATCAAGATAGGAGAAGATGAGAGTAGAGAGCTTTCCATTTTTGTTAAAAAACAATAATAGATGCAATCTACGCTGTTTCTCGGCAACCAAACAAATGTTAAATAAACAAGATCGACATAAAACACCAATTAAAGTTTAAGGACCATACCAGAGCTTCGACGGGCAGCTGAACGATCAAGAAGATGCCGCGTATACATACCTCAGATGTAGCTGGGCTTTTCAAGGCCCGACCCACAAGCCAATTTGAGTTTTGTTAATGGTAAGGTGAGAACTTTGTTACTGTTGATGATATTATATTATTCCAATTTCTTAAATTTAATTTTAATTCTTCATTTTTTTACTTTTTTTATATTATTATGTTATTATATTATATAAAAAAAATAATATATTATATATAATATAATAATATAAGAAATTGGAATAATATAATAATATTATTATATTATATAAAAAATAATAATATATAATATAATGATATAAGAAATTGGAATAATATAATATAATAATAATATAATAATATAAAAAAGCCCCTACCCTGTAATATTTGGAAGTATCCTAACAAGCCCTTGATTCCTAAACTCAGAAATTTTCCTTGACTCCTTGCAAATCCAATTTGAAGATTCACTCCGTAGGTCAACATCAATAATTGGTACTTCAGTAGAAAAAGACGAAATCTGTAGAAGATAAGGCTTCTCTTCAATTATCAGAAAAATGCACGCCAAGAAACGACAAAAGATTCTGTAAATATTTGTGTCTGTAATTATTTGAGTCTGTCAGTGATAAGCCTTCTCCTTCACTCACTGCTTTAAAAAAGCAGATGACCCCTACCCTGCTTTATTAAAGAAAAACTGTGAGGATCCTTATACGTGTCCTGTAATAAATTATAGTGTCAAAATTTTATCAAAAATGGAGGATTGAATGATGTGCGATGGGGTCCAAAGCAGTACCCGGCATCATTATCCAAACCCTTTACTTGTTTTTATCTGTGTAGAAAGTTTGTCAAAATAGGCATATAATTGTATACATATAGCCTTGTCTTTATTAGATTTTGAAAAAGCCTAAGTCTAGGCTTGAATAGGTTTTGAATAGGCCTTAGACTTTTAGGAAAAGTTTAGACGTAAGATGTTAAGCATAGATTTGGAGTTTTTGTTTTTATCTTCTTTTTGTTGTATAAATTGGCATTCATGCCAACGGAAGAGGCTGAATGAAAAATTCCCCTTCACTCTGCTTTATAAAAAAATTTCGACCCCTCTCAAAAACCTTTAAGTGTTCCAAGTCTCTCAGAATTTCAGAGTCTGTAATATAATTTTCGTAAGTATATTTCTTATGAAGTGTGAGTAGTCTCTCTTTTTCCTTAAATATTTCAAAAGTGTAACTCTTCTATTCTAAAAATTTATTTTCTTTTTGGAAAAACTAAGTTCATGGAATGCTTGTTTGCTCATTAATATTGCATGCTTTGCACCTTCGTAGTATCTGTTGTTTTCTATTTTACTACTGAGTGACCTTAGCTGAAGAGCCCGTGTGAGCCGTGGTTAGGTGTTGGAGGGCAAATTGTAGGCAGAAAGGAAAAGTAAAAAATAGAAAATAAAAATATATTATGTTGAATGAGACTTAGCTTCAAGGTGAGAGTACATGTAATGAAAACAAACATTGCCTAAAAATAGTTTTGCCAAAGAAAAAAATTTTAGAATAAAATGAGAGCAACCTGAGTAGAAATATTAAGGAAATATTGTCCATAAAAGGAATTTAAAAAATCAAAACTTTATACTCTTAGAAGAAAAACTTAGGACTAAAATCAAAATCAATACTGAACTTATACAAGAATTAGAAGATCAAAAATTAAGATATTAGTTTCTATTATCATTAACCTCCGGTAGATCTCTAGAAAATTATAGTTTGAAACTCACTCAAATAAATAGACAGATAACTATAAAACAAAAAACATTACAGCTAGCTATACAACAACTTGAAAATTTATTAGCTTAACTGTAGAATTAATTAGATAATTCTCAGCCCAATTTCAAAATAGTGGTAGACCACTAACTCATCACCCCCAAAAAATTGGTATCAGTGCAGTGTTCGGTTTTAGGACAGTTTAAGTTAGTTTATGCATTTTCTTATTTAAATAGAGTAGTTTTTATTTTTGGACAATTTAGTTATAAATTTCATATTATAGTAGCTTTTAATAATTTTAAAGTAGGATTTAATTTTGTGTATGAAAAGAGTAGAATATTTAGATTTAGAACTCAGCAATCATAACCATCATCTTAATATAGATAAAAATAAATTCCGTTGTAATTTTGAAGGTACTTTTTCACATCAACCCCATAGTGAACATAATTCTCAGTTAAATAGTATTGTAGATTATCAGATTAATTTTGCAGAAAATATTAAAAAGGACGTAGATAAAATTAGTAATCTCTTCACTTTATCTATAAACTATCTTCGTAATACTTGCAGTATAATTAAAGATCAAGATAAAAAATTAGACTATATCCAAGACCAGTGTAGTTCAATTTTACACAAACGAACAGATTTAAATTTAGAAAAATTTCCCACTAAGCTAGAAATAGAAACTCTAATTTCAGCTACAAATACTAGCAGTTCAAAACAAATAGAATTAGAATTTAAGCAACTAATTGAAAAAATTCATAGTCAGATAAATCAAATAGCTAAACAAATAGAACAAATCAACCAAATTCAAGATAATTTAAAACAAAAATTAGAAATCTTAGAACAATTAATAAGATCTTAGTTTATGAGTAGTGATAAAAAAGCTAATAGAGATTACCAGACTATTTTAAAACAAGCAGAAGATTTTCATAATAACCCAGAAGGAATTAGTAGCTATCAAGGAATAAATCAATCAGATAAAATATTAGTAAGACAAAATAATATAGAAATTTTATTTCTAATCAGATTGTGTGAAAAATTTGAAGAATTATCAGAACAATTACACAGTGTAGAAAATCGTTTAACTTCTTTAGAAAGAATAATACTTCAAAAAGGAAAAGGAGTAGAAGGACAAACAAACAAGCCCCAATCTCAGGTAAACGAAGAAGATATAGTTAGATATTTCGAAAAGCTTAAATTACCAAAGAAATTCGCCTGTAGAACTTACAGAAAATAAAAATGTTTAAATAACTAGTAAAAGGTAGTAGTAGCAAAAAGCGTAATGAATATGAAGATATTAAAATGGAAGAATTTATAGACGTAGAACAACAAATAGAAAAATTTAAGAAAGAAAAACTAGAATTAATTCCAGCTAAATATGTATATAAGCTAGGTAAGGTTCATAAAAAACAATATCTATTTAAACACTACGGTGAACAAATGATTAGTGTAACTCATGAAGATGAAAAAATAGAGCTAAATTTAATAGACCGAGAAAGCTATAAATATGCAGTAAATAAATACCTTAAAATGACCCACTTAGGATTAATTGTAGTAGGAGTTAAGGCTTTAACCAGAGAAAATTTAGGAACTAAAGTTTTTGTATGTCTTTATGATGATAGGTTTAATGATGTAGGACAAAGTATTTTAGGCAGCTATGAATTATATATGAATTCAAAAGGAGGAATAGTTTATTTTACACCAGATTTCCTATTACCAACCTCGACCTTTCATAAAAAGATAAAAATAGGAATAAAAAGTAGGGGATACAAAATGAAAAAAGGAGAAAATAATTTATTAGTTTGCACAGGATTTTTAGGCTTAGTAGTTTTAGAAAGCAATACTCACTATAGACTTACAAATTACCAGATAGTTAAGTTATTAGGCGCAAAAGGAATAAAGGCACTACTAGCTAAAAAATTTAATTCTGAAGATAATGCAGCATTAGATTGGAATTTAGGAGATTTTTTAGGACAAAAGAGATTAGCCCCTCAAGATAACTTATTATATCAAAAAGCAGATGGCAGTTATGCAGTAAGATTCACTCAATATACGTATGTAGCGCCAGAAAAATCTGAAGATGATGAATTTAGTAGTATAGATAGGGAAGAAAATCAAGATAGTCGTAGTGTCATAAATCAGCTTTATGTAATGACAGAGGAAAAAACAATATCACCAAATAAGATATATAATATTGATGAGATAGATTTAGAAAATTTCACCCTAACCGATATGAACAAAATACTAGATACCAGATATTATGAATATTTAGCCAGAGGAGATACTCATGATGAGGCAGTATCATTTTTAGATCAAGAATTTCATACTGAATATGTAGATGATATCATAGAAGATAAAATACATCCTAGCGAAATATTTAGAATGCCAAAACAATCTAATTTAGAAGATACTTTTTATATGAATACAGAAAGCACAGGAACTAGTAACCCACAGCCAATTGTAGAAGATCCCGTAGAACCAATGCATTATGCAGTAGGAGGAAAAAGGCCATTAGCAAGTTCAGGACGTAGTAATGCAGACCCGAATAAAAGTTATAGATTTCATGGAAAGCGTAGACAACCAGATATGAGTATACAATTACAGTCGGCTAATAACCAAGGAACCCTTTTAGACTTAGCTAGATTCGATCCTCAAATATGGCAAGAAGTAATAGAAAAATGGAAAAAAGATGCAGTAAAAGCATGGATGAGTAATCCCTATGAATCAACGGATATGTGGGAATATATGGAGACACTTTTAGGAGATCCAGCTTTTAATATATATTTAACCTTTAAAGGAAAATATGAGAAGACAATTAGACAGCTTAAAGGACTAGGAGATAACACTTGGAATTTCACTAGCTTTATATAAGAAATACTTATAGGATATGACCCTTCCAGACGAAATACTTACACTCAAAGCATAGCATTAACTGAATTAGGTCAGATAACATTAGGAAGTTGGAAATATATTGTACGCTTCAGTAAAGAATACTTAGCCATAGCAGCTAGAACTGGAAAAAGTTTTGATAAAGAAATAGGAAATAAATATTTTAGAAAATTACCCGGAGAACTAGGAAGAGAAATAGAAAATAAATGGTCAATTTATTATGCAAACTTACCAGCCCAAATAGCCTCAGGAGAAGTAAAGATAAAAGGAACCTTAGGAATAGGACCTAGGATAGTTTTTACAGTCCATAGACTTAAAGAAAAATGTATAGAAGTTAAAATACAAAAAGATTTGAAAAAACAAAATTATGATTTTTGTAGTAGCATAATATATACTCCTCAGCAATATGAAGATAAAAACAATAGGAAAAAATATAAAAAATATGGAAAATATAGAAAAGAACAAATATTG